TCTGCAGGATTGAAGCACTTCAAGAAAAGTGCGTCATCCCTGGCTACAGCTGCCCAACCCGAACCCAGCAACGCAACTGAAATGAAAGGCCTCTTCAACTCTTCTGGCTGCACCGATTTCGCCAAATGGCTGCACGTGTCCCACATGCAATATATATTGCCATGCTCAAGGCTTCCGACTCATGCATGTGACTTCAGAAAAAAACGTGTCGACACGGACGTGGCGGACCAATGCGAAGTGTGCGCGCTCGCAGCTTTGGTGGTTTCAAACCAAAAAATGAAATCGGTGAAAAACAAAAAACCCAAGGCGACACACGTCACAAAACGGATTTGTAACTGAGTTATTTGATTTGCCCAACTCAGGCCAACCAAGTTACACATGCATCAAATTGACATGCTATGTTACTTGCAAGTCACCCAACTACATGTAAATACGTGCAAAACTTATTATGTTGACCTCGCAATTTATATGTACCCTCCAAATTCCTTAGCGATAATGCGCTACATACTTGATGTATAACCTAGTGTTAGCCAAGATGCAACTGACCTTACAAAACTTGCTATCGTCAGCAACTAAGCCAAAAACATACTAAGACGCGCGCCCCTTTAAGAGCTTCTACCCGAAGCCGATCCACCTCATCACCGACAACGGCATGTCCTTCACTGCAGAGCGCTTCACAGAGTTCTGTAGATCCGTTGGCATTGATCACACCTTCCCGCCGGAGAAGGAGTCTTGGAGTCATGGTATCGTTGAACATGCCGTGCGAGACATCAAACACACTGCCAGCGCCATCCAGCTGGAGGCCTTGGATCAAGACCCTGCGGTGACCTTGGCTCTAGCCGCATCTGCCCTGAACAGTACTGAGTACACCTCTGGATTCACCTCGCACCAATGGGCGTTTGGTCGGGACTACAACATCTCCGAGGAGGATCACCGCTCCCACATGCAGCTCTCCGACCGCATGACCTACTCCAACCTGGTGGCGGCTCGTCAGAAGGCCGAGGAGGTTGCCCGAAAAACTCGCTCTCAGCGTATCTTGACCCGCCTTGGCAACTCCAAAGCACGACAACCCCTACGAACCTTCCAGCCCACTGAGCTCGTCAAGATCTGGCGGAAATCACTTCCCCTGGAACAGTTTACTGGACCTCGAGGCGGTCTTCGCAAGTCGGGCAGACCTGGTTGGATAGGACCTGGACGGGTGATCTTCATGGAAGTCTTGCCTCACCAGAAGGAGGACGATCCTAGACGTCACATTGTCTGGGTGCTGATGTCTGGCAAGCTGTTTCGCTGCAGTGTGCACTCTGTCCGGCCAGTCACTCCCACAGAGCATCTTCGCTGGGACCTCACCAACAAGGAGGACCCTACACGATGGAAATCGCTGTCAGACCTACTCCCCCGTAAGGAGTACCACGACATTACCGACGAGATACCGGATGCCAACGAACCTGAAGAATGTCATCTACCACCATCTCCAGACTCCAGTACTCTGGTTCCTCTCCGACGACAACACACCAAGCGCACTATGGCGCCGGAAGATTACAGGAGGGTGCATCGATCGTCTCCCATTGGGCTTGGACCGTCGCGATCCCTGTCAACTACAAGTCCAACTGGACTTCAACGGTGCCCGATGCTCCCGAGGCTTCTGAAGTTCCTGAAGCTGGCCATGAACCCTCTTCAAGTTCTGGTCTTCGTCGTGTACCCGAAGATGGTGATGAAGATGTCAATGACTATGATCCGGACCCCAAGAAGGCTCGCACCATCGACTACGATATCAAGTGGGTTCAGATGCTTGAATCCGAGGCTCAACAAGAAGTCAACAGCCTCGACCTGCACTCTGCGCTCCAGGAAGTCGAGGATTGCCTCTCCATCACTTTCGATGTGACATTGGACTCCAACAAGCAGCGCAAGAGCCTGGAGTATAACCCCACAGCCTTCCTGGTGAAAAAGATGAACTCCTCCGAGGTGCAGTTGCAGAAGCTCACACCTTCACTTCGTGGACTCTTCGAGAGAGCCAAGACCAAGGAGGTGAACTCCTTCCTGAAGAATGAGGCTGTCCGTAAATGCCTGGACGATGCAGAGATTTCTCGTGCCTACTCCACGAACCGCATCCTCAAGGCGAGATGGGTTCTGACCTGGAAATCTGTACCTCCTGAAGATCGACAAGAAGCTCTCCTGGACTCCAAGAATAACCCGGACACGGTTCACACTCCTGATGGTAGCCGCAAGGCCAAGGCACGCATTGTGCTGCTTGGTTTTCAACATCCGAGTCTTCTGGACCCGACCTTCAAGACTGCTGCCCCAGTCCAATCAATGATTGGTCGCAACTTGCTGTACTTGATGGCTGCTACGCATCAATGGCCCATTGAAGGACTGGATCTGGCGACAGCGTTCCTGCAGACGCAACCAACGGAAGCGGATGCTGAAATCTGGACTTCAGGAGTGGAAGAGCTCAGGTCAGCCTTGCATGTGGGAAAGGAGGGCATAATGCGAATTCTTCGCAATGTGTATGGCTCGACTACAGCTCCACGTGGTCTCTGGTTGGACCTTCACAAGACCCTGGTCAAACTCGGTGCCGTACCACTCCTTGGTGAGCGCTGTCTTTGGGCTTGGTTTTCCAAGAGTGAAAAGGACAGCACTGGTCAATTTCCTCGTCTTCTCGGAGCCATGGGAGGTCACGTAGATGATTTTCATCGAGTTGGTGATCGTGGCTCTGCTGAATGGTTGGACATCTGCGATGCCATCAACAAAGCCTACACCTGGGGCACGACCAAGACTGGTACGTACCGCCATGCCGGCACCGATGTCACCACCGTTGATCTTAAGAACGGCAAGTTCATGATAACAGTCAACCAGGACTTCTACGTAGAGTCCCTGATGGATGTAGCGATTCCTGCAGACCGTCTACGGCAAGATGGGCCTCTCACTGTCTCTGAGGTGAATGCATGCCGCACTGCCTTGGGAGCTCTCCAGTGGCTCGCTATTCAGAGTCAACCCCTGCTGTGCTCGAGGTGCAATCTGCTACTCACTGAAGTGGTCACCGGTGGCACTCTGGAGACTGCTCGTGAAATTCAACACATGGTCGGCGAGGTGAGACGATGTCCCACACAGCTGCGGTTCTTCCCGCTGGAGGGTGTCTCCAAATGGACAGATGTGGTCTTCATCTCGATGGGAGATCAGGCACATTCTAATCGACCTCAAGGTGATTCCACTGGCGGTCTGGTGACTCTTGCTGCTGGACCATCATGTCTTGCCGGGAATGTGTCCCCTATGTGTTTGCTCAGCTGGCGTACATGGAAGCTTCGTCGCAAGGCCATTGGGAGTAATGATGCCGAAGTACAAAGCATCCTGGAAGCTGAGGATCAGAACTTCCGAGTTCGGCTTCTTTGGAGTGAGCTACATGGTGCAGGTCAGCATCGAGCTCCTCTTCGAGAAGATCTCATCAGCCAGGCCGAGAATCAAGTCGTCCTGGTCAAGGGTGTCCTGTGCACGGACTCTCGGGGTGGCTACGACGCTGTTGAGCGCAATGAGTCACCGTTGCTTGGGTTGTCAAACCTTCGATCAGCCTTGCAGGCTTTTCAGTTGCGTGACAATCTTCGGAGAGTTCATTGTGAACTTCGATGGCTGGCCTCCGACTATGACCTCGCGGACGCCATGACCAAGAAGCGTTCAGAGAGCCGTTCGGGGCTAGAACGTTTTCTGCAGACCTGGCGATGGTGCATAGCCTTCGATCCCAATTTCGTGTCGGCAAAGCGAAACAAGAAGGCTGGCAAATCCGCCTTGAGTCGCATGCAGGACTCTCTCGGCGATGACAGCAACGAGAATGCACTACAACCTGGACCTCATGGAGGGCGGAATCAGTTCGCAATCAGCGCCTGTGGCCCCCATTATACGGATGATCACCTGAGTCCTTTTTTCCCTGGTGCAGCTTCCTGAACAACATGTCAGGTGAGTCATCCTGTGGTGTGCCATATCGGCTCATGCATAGGGGGCCCCCTTTTTGTCCTATTCAGACCGGGAGGTCTGGCTTCCAGCCATAGTGATTACATCGGTCCCTGACGGCCGTCCGACAGCTGAAACAGGTGCGCTGAGCGCCTTGCCTTCGTGGACATTGTGTTACACATTGATCCCCCGTGAGCCCAACACTGAACCCTGTGCCTCCGCTACAGAATCCATTCTGATGCTACATACAATGATGGTCTTTCGTTGCAACCCTTTAAGGCTGAGTACCATCAAACAAGGTCCTCGTAGTTTCGTTTCTCGCGGAATCTGCCACGAGTGCTTAATTTCTCGCTGTGAATGACAATTGTCATGTATCCCTCAGGGTGTACCCCAGAATGCTATAATGTAGCCTAACCTCGGTTGCTTTGTGCTCCCCTGCTAAAAGTTTAACTTTTGGTGGTTTAATACGGAAAACCCATTAGTTGGCAAAAAGTTAACGTCCTAACATCCCTTTGCAAAATGCACCAAAGTAACTATGATGTCCCGATGTGTACATGCGTCTAGGGTGGGCTTTGGTGTTGGTCCATGGGCAATGGATTCTGGTTGAGCTTCTGATTGTTTAAGGATGGGTTGGCGCGTTGGTGGGACTTCGATGCCTTTCTATCGGACATCAACCTTGTGGGTGAATCTAGATTCAGCTGTTTGCTTCAAATTCAGAAACAGAAGGCGACCTGAAAGACTCACCCCAAAACGGTCCCCGATAACTTTTGGGGTAATAACCCGTTTTTGAGGGAATTTTGAGGGTCCAGGAACCCGAAATCATTGCGAAGCACACGTGACCACCACCACCTAGTGTAGGGCATCGACTGGTCCGTAACCTTGACCACTGCAGCATCGGGGTTCAGAAGCCGATCATGCAATGCGGGTCTTCATCCACGTCGCATTTTTGCTGCTTGCCTTGAAGTGTCGCAGGGAACGCCAGCTTTTCATGATTCAACGATAGCTCGGCGCACGGAGGTCGTGATTACAAGGTCTGCTCATTGAAGGCACTCCCAACTGACCTAGCGCCGCGAGGCCAGAAAGACCCACCAGAAGCAAAGAGCAAAGTTGTAGCGCTTTATGCTCGGGAAGAGCGCTTCTCGTTGGGCAAGTGGAGAGTGCATCAAGCATCGGGCACAAGTGCCTTCGGGGTTGTACACCAACATGGGCGGAAATGTGCCCTCTACTTTCAACTTCACCCACCTAAGCTCACGTTCAATGGGTTTAAACTATGATGTTTCTATATATTTATATATAAGCTGTATTGGAAGTTTTGGGAGCCCTGACAAAGGGCAGTTAAGAGTTGACTGAAACTCTACCCCTCCGAATCACGGCACCGAATCGCCTGTCAGCAGTAAGGCGCGCATCCAGGGTCAGGTCGGTGAGCGCATCCTGTCACCCAACTCGTCAACTCTAAGTCTCTAAGTTCCTTGCTGCAAGACCTCGTGGGATAGACTCACTTGTTTGAGTGGATTCGAACTTTTTGTCTGCCACTTTTTGACTTAGCAAGTATTTAGAGTGCCACTCTATGGTTGGACGCTCTTTCAAATTGACTCTTCTCTAGGCTGAAACGTGTCATCAGGTTGATGAACTCTCGCCTGATTGCTCGATTAAGTCGACAGCCAAACAAGGCCAGCCCTCCCCACGCAAATGGTTGGCTTCGTTGAAGGAGCTGCTTAAAAGTGAGATGTGCCGAAACTGATTGTCGCTGTCGTTGCAACGGGATTGCAGCACGAAACCAACTTCTGAGCTGACTTCAGCTGCTTCCTCTTCGTACTGCTCTTTTCACGCAGCCACAGCGTGGGGGAGACATAATCATCCAAAGAGTGCTGTTGCTTTACCCAACTTGCCCCAAAGGCAAACTACCACCCTTTCATCGATGGTTCAACACTGATCATGTTACCATGAGTACAGGGAGCCTCTTGCACAGGGTACCCGTATCGGCCGTTAGACAAACACACACGCACAAACACACCCACAAACACACACACACAAACACACACAAGCACACACCCATGCACCCACCCCGCACGCACGCACGCACGCCCGCGCGCCCGCGCGCGCGCACGCACGCACACACGCACACACGCACGCGCACGAGCACGCACACGCGCACACGCACAGGCAACATGCACACGCGCACACGCGCACACGCGCACACGCGCACACGCACACACGCACACACGCACACACGCACACACGCACACACGCACACACCCACACACACACACACACACACCCACACACACACACACACGCACACACGCACACACGCACACGCGCACACGCGCACACGCGCACACACACACACACCACACACACACACATGCTTTGATATGTTAGGAGGTGAGCTGGCCAACAAATGGCTGCATGATGTATTCTATGCGAGAAACAATTTTTGATTGAGAGCGTTGACTGTTAGCCTGACTGTTAGTGTGTGTGTGTGTGTGTTTGTCTGCGTGGGCGGGTGGGTGAACCTGCGTGCTTCATGGATCAACAACATACATTGCACGATGGCTGCGATCCTTGAAGAACCAACATACACTTAACGTGATGATCATGTTGAACTAATGGTTCACTAAATACAGTGGCTCTCATGCTTGAAAGTGTAGATGGATGCATCGAACTGTATCCATGGCTTCCTTGTTGGGCCATGGGCAAAAAGCAATTCTCAGGTACCTCTGAGCCAGCCCATTTTCCATCCTGCGACTCATAACCAAATTCTTCCACCTCTGCACATGCCCCATGGCCAAGATTCCTTCTAATCTAAGGCGCATCCTGGTCACGGTTCACTACCCAACATTTCCAGGACTTTGACCATGGATGACATGACCACAGAGTGGAATGCCCAAGCGCAGTTTTGTGGGAGTGTTTCTTTGTTTGCTTGTTTGTCTCTCTGTCTACTAGTGTGTCTGCCTCTCTGTTTGTTTGTTTGTTTGTTTGTTTGTTTGTTTGTTTGTTTGTTTGATTGTTTCTTCTTTTGTTTGTTTGTTTGTTTGTTTGTTCGTTTTTGTGTTTGCTTTGTTTAATTGTTTTCTTTATTGACTTCTTTGTTTCTTTGATTGGTTGGTTGGTTGGTCGCGTTTGTGATTGCTGTGTTCTGTATTTGTTTGCTTGTGTTTGTGTGTTTGTGTGCTTGTGTGCTTGTTTATTGGTGTGCTTGCTACAAAGCACGCCACTAGCCGAGCGCTCTCCTCTAAAGCAGCTGTGTCGGTGACTTGGTGCCCCAGCAAAGCCTGCAAGCGCATCACATTCGCTGGAAGGGTCTGCCTCAAGCTAGTCATTTGGCGGAGGCTTGCATACCTTAGCCCACACTCATTCATGATGGCTTTACGTATGCAAACGCAGAGGTCCCTTTGCGACTCAAGGAGAAGGAAGAACCAGTTGCCAGACTTGGGACCAAGGTTCAGACTGTGGCTTAATCAACGCGTGACACGTAGCTTCCTAGTTCAGCGGTAATCTGGAGATACCTGGAGTCTCCTAGGTGGAAACAATGGAAAGCCGCACGGGTGTCTGAGTACGTGTTTTAGGGTTTAACCAAAAGGATGACCAGCTGGCATGGGCGCCCCTCCCGGGAATCCTCGTGTGCTGCGATATTCTTCTTGCATGAAAGGGTGGCTGAAGCCAAACATCTTAACTTGCCTTCTAGCTTGAGTGGCAGCAAGGCCACAGCATGAGAAGACAAGGAAGTTGCGCTGCCGAAAATGGCATTTGTTGCGTGCAGGGCACTCCGATTGCAGCCAACAACAGCGCATTGGTATGTGAAGCAAACGTTTGGATGGCTGTCAAGTTCTAACCACATATGTGCGGCAGTTCCTATTGCCAAACCAACACGCATTGGTTATGACTTGCCAAATCTGCACCTCGAATCACGCCAGGCCATAGCCTATGGGTATTGCATTTGTTGCTGGCAGGGCCATTGGCAGATTTCGACCATCCCAGCCCATGTACTATACCAAAAAGCGAGGATGGTGCATGTAATCGCCACCCAGCTACAACATAATGGTGCTATACCCCGGTTGCGCCTGAAGTAGTAATTTGGAGATAGCGATAGCGCAAACCATCTCGGAAAGACGCATGCGCATATTGGTGGTTGTCAAGCTTATGTATCCATTTTGGAGCCGCCTTCACAATGGGCAGCTGATATGCCTTCGTGAGACCATCCCCCTTCAGAGTGACAAAGGATTCACCCAGGGATAGCAATCTTTAAGATTAACCCGCAAAAGAAGGAGTAAACAAACATAAGTGGGAGCCCATGAGCCGTAAGCAAAGCATATCTATATCAGATTTCCCTGGTGACAAAAAGGGCCATTGCCAAGTTTCCTTTGCTGGGGGCCAGCACATGCTTAGATGATGGTCCGTATTCAATGATCCTTAAGTTGCAAAATTATGTGCGAGCTCCCCTGCCCATAACGGTTGCCCATGTTTGACCCGGCCCTTGTCAGGTCACCGTACTGATGGACCCTGACCGATCTCACCTGGATCAGCGCTGCCGTGCCAGGCTCGGCGGCTGCCCTGCCAAAACCACCGGAAAGAAATCGCCGGCTTGCAGGTAGGTACATAATTGGCCGGTGGCTGAAGTTAACACATGCAAAACTGACTACATACATGTATGTGTTCCTTATATATTATACATGCGCTGCTGATATTTGTGTTTACATATTAATACGCGTGCACGACACATGGATTGTTGGAGCGTGTGTCGACATCACAGCCCACCAACGAACACTTGGAACACCATTGAAAGCATGTGCTGCACAATTTCACGAGGTACATCTCGCATAGATGGGCCAAACGGTCGATTTCCTAAACGTTTACAAAGTGGCCGCTTCGTTGGTCCAGGGACCGATTGCTACCCGTGACGGTGATGTGCTCGAGAACGGGGGCAAGCTCATCCATGAGTGAGTCTGCACATCATAGCCGCCACTTCAACGCCAGCAAAGTGTCGTAGGCATCCACGAAATCAGAGCCGTACGCAAGGTCCCGCAAATCTGCCATTGGCGTGAGTTGCAACAAAAAACGAAACATGTCAGCCAAAACCAAGGTCCCTTCAAGCACCAAAAATGATCATGCAAAAATGCCTGCCTTAAGCGAATGGTGACAACATGCACCAACAATCCCGCCGTTCCTCCCCTATAACATGTTACTTCAAGCAATCCCCGCCTAAGAGACTTGCTTTGCTAAGCTGGACTGAATCAGAGTCAGGGAAGCTGACCAAGAAAGCGTACTGTTGTAACAGAAAACTGCTTCAACTTCCCCCACTGGCACGCCGATGACCGCAAGCAATTGATGCAACTTCCGGGCTGGCAGTAGCTCCGCAGCTGCCGCTCAGTTGCGCCGATCACCGGCATCGCCAATGCCTTCACAGCCGTCGGCCTGTCACAGCTGTCCTGGCCCGGCCACTTGAGGCTCCGGACTGTGGCTGTCACTTCCTGTCTGGCACAGCATGAAGCTCAGGCTTAGGCTCTGTCACAGCTGTGCGGCGCCTCGTGGATGGGATGTCACTGAAATCCAACCCCAAACCAGTCGCTTTGGAAAAACCACGAAAAAAACCCGTCCCGTTCGCCTCAGCGCCTGCTCACCTTGCTCGGCGGACACCACAGCACCAGCCTCCGGACAGAGAGCCGGAGCCGGAGCCATGGGAAGATCATGGCCCATGGCGCCTGATGACTATGGAATCCGCAGGCTCGGACCCAAGTCAGACCCAGTTTCTTGACCCTCGCTTGCATCTTTTCAAGCTTGTTCCCACAGGAGCTACAGGAGCTAAACTTCAAGCAACCTTTTCCGGGTATGTGTCAAACGGGGACCCTCAAAAATAGTTGACGTCCTCTTGGCGTGCCTTGAAACCAAACCTGAAAAGGGTACAAGCCAACACAACAATAGAAACCTTTCAATCGCATCGCTCTATAACCATGCAACCAACAAGAGTTCCGGACACGATCTCAAGCCAGACTTTCCTGGAGCGGCTCTTTCTGAACCCAAGTTTGGCTTTGACAATTCGGGGTCTGCTTCTTGTCGGTACGCAAACGTATGTCGATCCTCGTTGAGATATCTTTCCCGGCTGAGTTAACTGAACAAACACGCTAGTATAACTAGTTCTCATTCTGGAGGAAGTACCTGGTCTCGCTGTTCTCCAACCACGGTCGCCAGGCAGGCTCACTTCTAATGCCTATTGAAATGTCACTTCAATCAATACCCGGTTCTGACTGACCAGATCCTTTAAACACAAAACTGGGGGAAATCAACCAACACCCCATAAGCAAATGGCAGGTAGACAAACAAGTGGCAGTGCTGTACCAACATGACACTTCCGTAAATGGAACCAACAACTAAGACCTGTGTAAGCCTAGCTCTTTAATTTTGAGCCACACCCAAGTCTCCGTGGGGTGCTCTAAAGCGAAAGCCTGTGATCAAATCCCTCCGCGCGACTCACATCACACAAAAAAAAGTGATGCTGGGTGGCGGTTGCCCTCGATGCAACAAGCTTAACTTTCGTGCGTTGGGGAAAATGCAAATTGGGCATGACGGTTTTGGGGGTGCCCGTTTTCGTCTGCCGGGTCTAAAGGCAACTTAACAGGGAACCACCCATTTCGGCGGGGGGTACCCCATTTTGGAGACAAACCTCAGTTTCAAGCGAACAAGTTCAAGGTCAGAAATCCAGCACCGAAGTTTCTGGGCCGAAAGTCTGCGGGAAACATCCCCAGTCCCCTACCAAAGAAACACGCTTGACATAAGGGGCTAAATAATTGCGCGCATGATTGTCCCACGATCATATATACCCTCCCACCAACTAACATGGAAGTGCAACAAGGCCTTTTCCAAGAGGAAAGCAGTCTTTCTACAGGGGTCTGTGCACTTCCATGTTAGCGGGTGGGAGGGTAGTTTGGGCTTAAGTCGGTTTAATTGTACCCCTTAACTTCCTGTGCTTATTCTGGCGGTTGTAATGGTCATTCGCAAGGTTTGTTGCTTCCAGTGGTACCACAGGCACTGAGACCCTCGTCCTCATCCCACCCGTTTTGGAAGTTGCTCAGTGACCCTGGCCAAACAAGGGAGCGCGTTTGGGGGTCAAGTTGTGGGGAAGCTACCAAAGTGAGAACATCGAGCCTCTGAGCTGAGTTCTTCTGCCCCAAGCAAATGAAGGATTCCATTCACCTTGAAGGCCCACCCATTTGAGAGTACCTATGAAACAGTTCGGACGGGGAGCTCCCCTTTGTCACCCCCCTCGAAGAAAATTAGCGCAGTCAGTGCCTCAATGAGATACACCACACAGTCCCTGGCATCCTCTTGCCTAGCCATGCAGCGGATTGGCTATGCCTCTTCAACTCAAGGGACCTCATCTTGGTGCCATTGGCAGGGAATAAGTTGGAATGACCCTGATAAACCATCCAACTGGTGGTTTCCTTTCAGGGAATCCCTGGGTTCATTACCACATTCCCGACTGAGCACCTGCAAGTCAAGGGACCTCATTTCTACAAGGGGGTGGCTCAAGGGAAACCAAAAGAGAAGCAGTTGAGTCCTTCCAAATTTTGGAACACCAGATGCGACTGACGCAAAATGAGACTCAGACGCAGCTGGGGCGGGCAAGAAGCTTCCCTCAGCCAAAACCTTCTGCTCAGACCCTCGGGGTTGTCCAAAACATCGGCACGAGCCTGACTCGTTTCGGGGAGCGGCTTCCCTTGGCCTGAAACCAGTTGAGTCCCTTACCTGCGGTGTATGGCTTTGTATCCTGAAAACTTATCATCAAACAGAGGCGGCCAAATTTTGCACGCATTACAGCCAATCTTGGGGATGGCAGGGGATTTGTTGCCTACACGTACTGGCTGTATCATCTCATGAAAACTTGACTTTTAGCTGATTCCAGAGTGTGCCTCTACTTGATCGCTGGATGACTTGGTGCCTTAATGGGACAACTGGAATAGATGGAAGCAGTGCCTCACTTGCGTCGCTGAAGCGATTTTAGCGCTCACTGCGATTCTGTAGGCAAAACCGCAAGGTCTTAGGACCATCCTTTGCGGCGAAACGAGTCAGCGGCTTGGTCCAGCTTGAGCCAACTCCGTGCGCAAAAGCGGTTAGCCCAAAGACTTTACAGTGGTCGGGATGCTATGGACCAACATGGGGCCACTTTCTGTGGGGAAAACAAACATGCCTTTGACGCTTTTGTCCCTCATGATACGGCCAAATTGCTATTTGGCCAACAAGTTCATCCAAATCCGATTTGGTCCTGCGAGAACCCAATCAAGCATTGAGACCAGGTGCGCCGCGAGTGCGAGCGCAGAAGAGCCCCCAGCGTCGCAGGTGCATGGATCGCACCCTGCGCAGACTCGAAGTCGGAATCGCCCATACCAATGTGACCCTCATGCTTTGCTTGAGCTATGCCATGGGTCAAAATCCTGTACCGCCAGTGAATATCCCAATCCCAATAAAATAAAACCTACGTAAATGGGTGGTGCACCTACTCCAAAATGGGATCCCATTGGTTTTGACAACCACAGCCATTTCTCTTCTCACTTGGGTCCAAGTCTGGCCCTAAAAAAAATACAAACCGTCCAAGATATTGATGTAGACTTCTTGAGTGACCCCAGTTCACAGCTTCTTTAAGCCTGTAAAACATGCAATACAGAATACAGGAGCCCTGACATGGATGTCTTTGGTTTTAGTGGGAGATTGAAGGTGCCAATTTGAACCGGAGCCACCAAGAAAAGCGGGAATTACAAAACACCAGCCACGCAACACGTGGTTCTGGAAAAAAGGGGAACTGAATGTTTTTCTCGGGGAATTTTGGGGACCGTCTATGAAAGGTGCTGTCCAGGTTTATCCCCCTGTTCCCCAATTCAGAGTGGACTTCTCCCTCTGAGCGTTGGACCAGGGCGCTCTACCCTTTCCAACGTCACCCCAGTAGAAACATCCACTGAGATCGGCTCAGCGGGAAATCCGAAAACCCTGAGATCCGAACATCTGCCAGTGTCCCTGGCGATTCCGTAAGAAAAACATAGTTGTGCCCCTCCCCCCCCCTGGCACAAAACTCTAGGAGTCCCTGACAATGTCACCCCCCCCTCCAATAACTAACCCTCGCGATTGAAGACTGTCCCTTCCCCTGACCCACCTGGCCCGCTTTCAGCCAACACTTCAAAGATCCACGAGGTTTGGCAAATGGACCGTGGAGGAAACGAGCGAGAGACCAAAGCGAATCACATTGGACTGCAGGACGGTAGGACTATAACTGCGCGTGTGGCACAATCAGCCCAGGAATTTCCCCCCTCCCCCATCCCCCCAAGAGAAAAAACACCTTGTCGACCTCGATAAGCGGGACACGGGTGTGGAAAAATAAACTCAGAGCACAGTTGCCCAGTGACCCCTGTCGATCCAATTCGTAAACCCACCAAACAGAAGCCTCCACAAACCCTGGGCTTCCGAAACAAACCAGCTCGCGATGCAAAAAATCTAAAACCTCAAAACAAACTGAGGTGGCACTGGAATGACTGGGGGTCCCAAAAAAAAAAACTTTTCCCCCCCCTCTACCCCGCCCTTGCCCCGCCCTCCCCCACCCCCAAAGACGAGCGCATCCAGCTCCACCCGCTGCCCGCTCCCCGCTATGCCGCCTGCGCGCAGGAACCTCCGGAGCTCCGCGAGCTGCGCCTCCGCCGCCGCGCGGCAGAGCGGCGCCAGCGCGGTGCCGCAGAAGGGCGCGCCCTCCGCGGCCGAGCGACGCGGAGGCCGTGAGGAGCGAGGCCGAGGTCGCGGAGGCTGTGCCGTGGAGGAGGAGGAGGAGGAGGAGGAGGAGGAGGAGCGGGTTGGACAAAATGGGTACTGAAGAAATTTGGGGTTCCAAGATACTGACATAAATGGGGAGTGACTCGGGTGGATTACCAAAAAAATGGCTGGTAGTGATAATGCTGAACAAAAATGGTATTCGAAGAATTGGTACCAGGGAAATGGAAATTGGTACTTGAAAGTACCGGCTTGAAAGGACAAGGAGCTGGAAAACAGCATATTCCTCCTCGCCTCCTGCAACCTTGCTTGTTTCGACCCTATTGGGTCTATTCAAGTAACACCCTCAGGACTACTCTGTCAATGGTGGCTTCAACGAAAACTGGCACTCTTTGTGCTAAGCTATGCTTAGGTCTGACAACATCTCACAACTCCAGCAGAGCTTTGGTGATCTTCATTGGAGAGACTCACTCAGTTTGCGTGCACACATGTTTCGGTTTGGGGGGGGGGGTTGAGCCGTTGATGCAGGTAACTCAGGCGGCGCTGACCAGGATCAAACCATGATGTCTACAGGAAGCTAGACAAGAAAAAGGCACCCCCGCTGCGGTTGCAAAGGCAAGGCGAGTGGTCCAATTGAATCGGAAACTGCGGTCTCATTCCTGCCTTCTGATTTGACACTTCTTAGGAGTCTAGTGGCATCTGTTGATTTGACGCAGGCTGTCTCCGATTTGCATTGTCTAAACCGAGCTGACAAAAATGTAATTCAAGCAGTTTCTGATTCCACCCTTGGTTCCTGATTCGATGCTTACCAGAGCTGGTTGTGGTGTGATGTAGTTGTGGCAGTCTTGAACATTGTAAAATTTACAGAAAGCTGAACAGAAGTTCAGGGAAGCAGCAACGTTAACTTCGGATTAATATCAGAGCACGCCAATCAGAGAAAACTCCAAACAACTGGACTCTCCACCACAAGGGTGCTCACCCCGCCATGAAGCCGAGTCCGGATGAATCCATCGAAGTCATCCATGACAGGCCTTCCAAGGCGCATACCTCACTGATCCCTCGTCAAATCGAGGCCTCTGTGCAAAATTCGCCTCCACACCACACGTCTGGGGCTGCGGGTATGACTCACACCCAGGCCTTTGTGACAAAGGCTTAGATACATATATATATATATACACACCTATACATACACATATACATATTATATATATGTACATATATATATATATATACATATGTAAATCGGCGAATCGGAGGTTTGGCTGATTGGCTGCTCTGTACGTCCAGTGACCCTGGTGGAAACGGGGAGCCCCTTCGCGGTTAACCATCTTCACTGAAACACCCAGCAAAACAACAAAAAAGACTGCCGGGATGCCACAGAACATGTGGCTGTGGGTCAAAACCAATGGGATCCCATCTTGGTTGGGTGCACCTCCATTTTAGGCTTTATTTTAGTGGGGATTGGGATGTTCACTGGGGGTACGAGTTGGCTTTGGACCCATAGCCATGCGGGTGCAGCTAAAGTTACATGGCGATACTGCCCTGTACCGTTTCTTGATCTGAGTGCGGTCCGGTCTATAAGGTTGAACCCCCATTCTCTTCACTCGTGCTCTTCAGAATAACCACACCATCCCTCGGTTGCTTTCTGCTCCTGCCAAAAGTTTAAGTTTTAGTGGTTTGATACGGAAAACCCATTAGCTGGCAAAAAGTTAAAGTCCTAACATCCCTCGGCAAAATGCACCTCTGATCCCAAAAAAAAAGCCTGGCCGATTTTCTCTTCGGAGGTCTCGCCTTCGGCCGCACCAGGGGGCCAAAGTCCGGGTGGTCCAACATGACCCAGCCCGCCGTGTTGCAGAGCCTCACAAGCGAAGAGGCCCCAAGAAGTTCGCCGGCAGATGTTTTTACAAGACCCTTTGGGTTGGGTGCTTAACAAAAGCAACATGAGGTCTTTACTAACTTGCCCAATGGACCCGCAAATTAACGGGGGACCTTTCGGGGCCGTAACTAAAAGTGGACCAGAAGGGGAAACCGAAAGCTCCAAGGTCGGCTTTGGGTAAGTGAGCTTGTGTACTACAAAGCATATGTCTCGAACGAAGTGCCTACTAAGGCTTCCCAAGTGTTTGGGAACAGGCAGCGGGTTGTGTTGCGCAATGGCACAAAGTGCGGCCTAGTCCTTAAGCGGTTCTGAGGCAATTCGGCCCTTGGTCTGTTTGTTGATCTGCAAAAGTTGGCCGTGTCCTCTGGCTACACTTCCTGTAAGCGCTACAAGAAACAGCGCTAGTTGCAAATGAAGGTGATGTTCTGGCAGGTGTTTCAATCAGACTTCCATATCATCTGAGTGCCCATCACTTGGCCTTAAGCTCAGCCAGTTCAACAACTAGGTTGCACTTTGTTGAATCTAGCTCAAGAACCTTGTCCAAGAAAATGCATCAGGCAAACATCATTACCGTCCAAGCCAAAGGCTTGCCGATAAGATTCTTGTGTTGAGGTGATTGTCCGCTGAGTGCTGGACGTTTTAGCGGTGCGGCCGACCAATGATGCAACGCCAAACATCTGCAATGCTTCGAATCCATATCGAGCACACCACGTCTTGTGACAGGAAAGTGTTTTGATTATTGGCGGTGCTTGCAATCTTGCTTATCGGTTTACCGGGGTTTCCATGGTTCACGAACGTAAGGGATGTGCCTATTTACACAAGGAAGAGGCTCAGGTATGACGTCTTCCAAGAAGGCAAATATTTCCAGCTTGCCTATGCTTAAATATCAAGGAACCTGGACATACAAAATTAACCTTTACAACCTCGCCCAAACATGGCGGCTTGAATCCCAGGGTAAGTACCCCGAACTGCTTCTTGGTCACCGTAGCAGGCAGTTCTTGGAACCCGGGTGCCGAAGGGGATGGCTGTGGTTCCCACCGAGAGGTTCAGCACCAAGGCCCCGCGCGTGTCAGCGGGGCACTGGCGCCAGAGCCGTGACTCGTCCCAGGCAAAAAGCTCCAAGGCGTCCCCCTTCCTGGGCCCGAGAAGGTTTGATCCCATTTGCATGGCTCGTCTCTTTGGGAGCGCAGCCATTTTTGGGGCGGGCCCCCTAAAAAAAGGCTCGTCTTTTTGGAGTTGGTACCCCAGCCTACAAAAAATAATTCCATGTTGGTTGGTGTCACTACATGCATCCCTCTCACAATGGGACTGTGCATGACTGTGCGGACAACAACGGGACCAACCAGCCCCCCCCCCCAACTGGTCTGTTCCATTTCAACCATGTCCAAAATCCCCAAAATTCTACAGACAGCAACCAAGAATGTCGTTTTTGACCCGGGTGCTGGATGTCATTTTCGACGCCCGCTGCCGCCAAGTGGCTGCTTGATCTCCAGCGTCGTGGCGGCGGTGCTGGGTGCTGAGCGGATCGCCACCCGCTCGAACCTCGGGAGAAACGGCCGAAGGCGCACTGAGGAAAATCCCAAGGGAAGCACCGATGAAATGACCGACAGACTTGATGTTAAGCAACCAAGGGAAAAAACAAAACAAAAAAACAAACACATAGAATTCAAACGGACATTTATGCTCCTCAGTTGGGAGCAGTCTTCCTTTCAAGAATCGTCAAACAACTACCTGGTTGCCCTCTGAAATGCCTGAAAGCTGCAATCGTTCACGCTTCCCGGGCCAGTTTCCAATGGAGCTGTGTCTACAAATAGACATGATTGCCGTGGCGTGGATGTGGAGCCAGCCTCTCCCGTTCAAACCTCCGTTTTGCCGCACCCATGCCACAATAGCCAAAAGCCATGTATTCACCCACATATCCAACCCGAAAGGGTGGAAACAGAGCTCTCCTTTTGGGGGAATGAACCACTGGGTAAAATGCCTACCCCGAGGTCAAAAAGTGGAACCCGAAAACATCTGATTGACATATTAAGTGATCTTCGCAGGACTTTGCCACGGATGGCTTGGGACCCCCACAAGGATCTTTTTGTCCCGTGCCGTCAAGGTGCCTATTCAGCTCGCGAGCCGGGGGTTGTCAAACGTAGTGGAAGTCATTGTTTCGAAGTATAGTTAAACAAGTTCGTGTTGTTTGAGAGCTTTGTGGCAGCCATGGTTGTTTGTCTCGAACTTTGCCCAAGAAACATCAGGGTCGTTGTTCCTGAAGCCTCCATGAACTTCAATATTTTAACTTGCTGGTTCTCAGCAGGGAATGAAGGAATGACCACGAAAAACCATCCTCTGTGGTTTCCTTTAAGGGAATCCCTAGGTTCATTCCCAAACCCTGGGTCATTCCCTACTGAGCACCAGCAAGTTCAAGCATGATTTAAGACCACCATGCCCTTGGCCCCTTTTAGAGAGATACCTTCCAGCAAGGGCACGCCACTAAGAAACCAACAAGTGCCTTAATCCCAGATCCCAGTTGCCCCAAGAAGGCCCTTGGGCATGTCCTTTGTCTGGTCCCCTTGGTTTCGCTGTCCAATGGATCCGGTTGTGGCAGCCAGCTCTTCGAAATCACCATATAACCAACTTGTGTAACTCTTCGAAGACGCAGAACAAAGATTTCCCTTTTGCCCTGGTTTCCCTTCATTGCCCTGATTTCCCTGGCCCCCAATCTCCGGGAATGGTGTCCAATGGTGTTTCTCTTGGTTTCCCCTGAACCGAAAGCCATGGCCAACCCAACTCCGAACCGAAAAAATCCAACGCCGAAACGCATCACCTCGTAGAGCGCCCCGCTGCCCAGAGCGAGCAGAGGGCCCTCCTCCGAGGTTTCTGGGCGGATCCTCGGTCGAGGCCGGCCAGATCCGGCCAGCATATATTCATAGATTTGCACGTATATATATATATATATGGGTATGTGTTTTTTTGACGTGGCCGCGCCGGGAGGTTGGTATAGGGGGTATGAATCGCAGGTATGGCTCAGGGTATGACTCGAGGGTATGGTTCGGGGTATGGCTCGCGCGGCTCTGATTTCTTGTTTTGTGGCCTTGGGCGCTGCAATTCTCGATCACGCTGCCAAGCAGATAGGCTGAAAGAAGCCGAACCGCTCAGTTGCCACAGCTGGCCTCTGACGCTGCCAGGGTGAACTAGACAGCTGCGAAAGGCTAAGCAGCCGTGGCACACCGAAGCCTGACGCCTCACCAGTCGCCAGGGCATGCTGTGCTTCCTTCCAGGCGCTGACAAGAACTTGCTTGCTTTGGCACGCCCGCCAATGAAAGGATGGCTTCTTGCTCGCCACTCCTTCGAACACAGGCCGCTCTTTGCAGCGCTCCCCGACTTCACAAGCAGAGCGAAAGAATTCACTCTCGCAGGCTTAAAACTCTTCCTTCAAGCGGCTGCAAACCTTCCGGACCGATCCTCTCCGAAAAGGGCGGCGTCGTTCTGCAGCCCTCCCCTTTGTTTGCCTAGCTTCTGAAGATCTGGCCCCTGTAGCTTCACGATTGCGCCCAGAGTGCAAAAGGCTCTTTGGTTGCAGATGTCTGCGAAAGGGTATGACTCGGGTATGGATCGGGTATGAATCAGGGGTATGAATCGCGGGGAAGATTTTTGCTGACGGAAAGACGCAAAGCGAGCATGGCTAAGAAAGCTTGAAATCATGTGCGGATGCTGCAAGGGCAGCACCCTTGCACTTGGAACAGGTCCGCGCCATGTGAAGCTATGAAGCAGAGCGTGTCAACCCGCGCAAAGTCAGCAAAGGTTTTGCTAGTGGTCAAACTCTCACCTGCGTGGCAGGAAGGGCCACAGAGCTTTCAAGCCTTCTTGGTCAATTTTTCGACCCGCCGGAGCGGCAGTACACATACCAAAGCCGAGCGCGCAAGTCCACCCCTTGACGCAGCAGCGAAAACGCACTTGGGATAAACACCCGAAATAGCCAAGCAGCTCGTGCAAGCCTGTGCGCTGTTGAAATGCAGTTGTGCGTGTGTCGCAGTAAGCCGGCCCATACAAACTGTCAGCTGGCGCATGACGAACTGTGAGCTAACCTGTAGCTCTTGCTCTAAACGTCAGTTAGAGTACAACACTGCTTGGGGACAGACAGCTTATTGTGTTACCCGCAGGACGGGCCCTACTTGCATACTCTTAGCTTCGCCCTTCAAGCAGGCTTGCAAGGTCAGCAGTTCTTCCGTTTTGGATTAAAAAAAAATCGGGGGTATGAATCGGGGTATGAATCGGGGGTATGGTTCGGGGTATGATTCGGGGGTATGGGTCGCCCAAGCCCCACCTCCCACGAAGACTAAAGAACTGACACGGTAAAAAAACACAGACCCATATATGTATGTAAGATGCATCTATGTATATATATATATATATGTGTTTTTTTTTAAATATATTATAAATATACCGGGACCCTTGAACTAACCATTCAAAAGGGAACTCACCCCATCATGTTGAGTTGAGCGATAACCGATGTTTGAGGGAATTCGTGCATGCATGCGGGTATTGCTTTCAGTATGCATCCGTGCATGCATGCACACATCAAGGAAGCTAACGTGCCAGTTTGGTCGGAATGGGATTCCTATGCAAGGAACCCCGGCAACAGTTGTGCCCACATCCGGCGAGGGGCATCTACATTTCACATGGCCGGATCTTTGTTGGTTTCTGAGTACGGAACGCAGTCTTCCCGCACCTACCTGTCAGCTTCCATATGCAAAGGGGAAGCATTCCAAGGGGTTCAAATTGTTGTGCTATATATATATATACAATACACGCACATGCTACATATTTCAGCACATGTACAGTTTCTTTCCATACACTTTTGTATGGTTGGCACACAGCAATTATTTTGCTGCACCTCGGCTTAAAAAAGCAAAGAAGCGGGGTTTGGGGGTTTTGAGCGGGAACGAAATGGCACCTGAGCCCCGTCCTTCCCCAGTTCTATCGAAGGGTTTACACCCGGGTGGGCCAAGACAAGGAGGACACCATGCATCCCCATGAGCGCCTTTGAACAGCTCAGGTTGCACCTGGGCAATTAGGTCATTACCAAGTCTGATCCTTTGCCAGAAACAAACAGAAACAACAAAAGCAAGCACACCCAAGAGTTGAACCTCCTTGCAAAGGCACACCGCGCCACTGGATCAAAGACTTTCTGCATACTCAACAACCTCAGACTCTAGGGTTCGGGGGTTTGGACTCCAGCAACAGTTTCAAACTCTGTGCACCTTGGCTAAATTAAGGACACCGGCCAAAGTCTGGCTCATTGAGTGCCACCTCGGGAACATCAAGGCGGGTATCTCCTTGTTAGAGGGTGCCCTCGTTTGTCTTGTCCCTTTTTTTCAAAAGGAAACCACAAAGGAAACCAGCAGAACTTGTGGGGTCTCCCTCACAAAAGAAGCCTTGGTTGCGGGCGCCAAGGAAAACCACAGAGGGGCCGGTCCTCCTGTTTCCCGCAAAAAATCACCGACGAATCGGCAGAGATCCCACTTCTGCCAAGCTGCAAATGGCGCCGGGGAACTTCCTTGGCAATACGTGGGAAGCCAGGGAAGCCCGCATGTTATCTTCATGTTTTTCAGGGGGGAAGAAACGTGCATGTTGTTTTATTTGTGCATTTAACTCTTGGGGCGGGACACACTGTTAAACAGAAAATACATGCAAATTATTTAAGATGTTCTGGCAGCTTTAAAGCAAGCCAAAGGTCAAGCCTTGCCTCGGCGTAGCCTTGGCTCTCGTTCTCGCCAAAGAGGAGCTTCCCCAGCTGCTTGTCACATTCCTGATCCGGGCCCCGCGCGGTGGCCGTCGAAATTTAGAGGTCGGGCTCGGCCTGGAACGGTGGTCCACGGGTTTCTCACGCTGTGAGCTTGGCATTTTCAGGTGGCTCACCATGCGCAGAAAACTGGCGCTCTAGTTGAGGAAGGGTTCGGCCGTGATGAAACACTCCAATCACTCAATTCGAAGGCCACCCGGAGATGCGGGAGGCGATTCTGCCCGCGGTCCTAAGTCCTCAAAAAAAAGAGCCCGCCACACGACACACGGCTCGGAGTGAAGCTGTGCGCTTATTGAGGCTTATTGCATGGGGGCCGCCTCGTTTTGCTAAAACTCTGCAGGAGCATTTGCAGAGCCGATGTTTTGGCGCAAGGCACGAGCCAAATGAGCATTGCACCCAGGCGCCTTTTAGAGGTAGTTGCAACACGGTGATGCTGCCATTGCTTTTGCCTAGTGAAAAGCACGAAGCCGCACACGAAAGATGACTTTTGATGCCGCTTCCGCGTAGTGCAATCGTGAAGAAATTGAACGACAAGCTTATGAAGATATGTAGCAAGCCTCCCTACAACCCTTACCGCTGCATGCAAAAGAACCGACTGGAAACAAAAGTCGTGGGTGCGAGCAACAAACATTTCCAGCCGTCCTTCTCCTCAAACTCTTTGGCGGGTAAGTCCTGGCCAAAAGGCACCAGCGGCTCGCGAAAGCCGAGGAAACCAACATCCTGAATATGAGGGCGTGTACCACCATAATCCCTTCCCCCTAATAATAAACGACGCCCCCTCCCTAATAAAAAAAATACCCGGCCTGCAAAACAATTTTTATTATTAGGGGTCCCCTGGTTCTGGAGGGCAGGTTTTGGAGGGCAGGTTCTCAAAGGAAACGTACTCCCGGAGCTCTGGCTCGAAAGTCGCAACTTTGTAGTACAACCGTAGTAAAGGAAACGTGCTCCCGGAGCTCTGGCTCGAAAGTCGCAACTTTGTAGTACAGCCGTAGTAAAGGAAACGTGCCCCCGGGGTCCCCCTAATGGGGCTGGATTTGAGTACGGGCAGGAAAATATCTACTTTAGAATTGGTTTAGTATTGGCTATTCTAAAAGTAGTATTCCCGGATTTGGGACTTCCGAAACAAATATTTATTATTAGGGAGACCTTTATTAATAGGGGGAACGGATTAGGAGTCAAACGATTGGGCTTTGGGCTACCTGAGTCAAAGGGGGGCACACTCGCAATCGCAAGCAGAAAAACCTATTCATAGAACATCTAAGATCGATTTAAACAAGGCTGCTTCAAATCCACTGTTCCTTGTAAGGAGGCCCTCCAGTGCTTAGTAACGCCAGCGTCAACTCAGGGAAAACCAGCAAAGCTCCAGTGAAGCTCCTGTTGGTTTGTGGCCTTGCAGGTTGATGCAACTGGCCGCAGCTCACAAGATGGTCAAACCAACATTGAAGTTGTCCTTCCAGCACTCCAGTAAAAATCCAGCGTCACTCCTAGATCAGCCAAAAAGACAATTCATACAGAAGTTGAAGTGGAACTGGTAGACAAAAGCACATGCCCCAAACAAGGGACACCCCCACCCATAATAGCCTTTGGGTTGTCAAGGGACCGTTTTGGGGGGCATCCGAAAGGACCAAAGGGGCCTTTTCGCGCCTCGTTTGAGAAGATTGTTTTTTGTGTTGAGGGTACGGGTACCCGATTTTTGTGCTTGTAAAGGTAAACCAAGGGAAACACCTCCCATTCCGGGTGTCCTCTCAGAAAAGACACAGTCATAGCTGTGACCTGTGCCTTGACCCCTGAGTCTACGCGGCAAGTCTTCAGACTCATGCCAGGACTTGCGCTTACATCTTTGCAAAAAAAAAAAAAACACGGGTGCCTCGGGCATGCGGTTGGTTGGTTTGTGTTGCTAGGACACCAACGGGGAAAAACAAAACGTTCGGGAGGGGACCTAGAGCCAGAAGCACAAAGCAGCCGTGTTGACCCAGGGATCGCTGGAGGTTATTTCGATTCAACTGTCCAAGCCTTGAGTGTCTTTCGAGCTATGCATCCCGGTTCTGGCTCGCTTTGAACCGGTTCTGAGCCCTATGGTTGGACTCAGCGTTCTGATTGGAGGAGCCTAAAGGGTGTGTTCTCCTTTTAATGCTTTCCCTTCAGAACCAACAAAAAGGGCTGTTGATTTCCCGTTGCCCCCCCCAACGGCTGGATCCCTCCCAAACTCAAATGAGTCACTTGCTCAAAACCCGGAATTCAAATGGTCGTAATCCCAGAACCATGCTTCAAGGATTCAGAAGCCGGATCTCCGCAGTTATTTGTAGCAAGGGGATCGTCCCCTACTAACCTTCATCAATCCCCGGGTTTTGAGCACGTGGCTCAAATGGACCACACACTGTCACAGTTCGACGCCTCGGCCGAGCACTCGCACGTCGCTTGCCTCTTCCCAAGGCCGCAGGACTTGCGCCGTGCCGATGTGCGTTGGAAGATATCTGCTGCCGACCTAAGCGGAAAAAAAACGCAAAAAACGCACCGAGCGGGTTCTCGGCCAGAAAACGAAAAAGGAGGTTCAATGGACAAGCCCAAGCTCGAAAGAGGCTAGGAGCCAAGGATAAATGAGCTGAACTTTGTGTTCGGCGTATCAAGGTCTATCCAGGATATTGGGCGTCTTTGGTCTGTTGTCCCTTACCAGCACGGCGGAATTGATCTTTGTAATTTTGCTGTATATGAGGCATTTCACAAAAGACCAGCTCTATGAGCCAAGTAGGTGCCGGTGGCACAGGAGCAGCGCCCAAAATTCAAAAGCCTCTGTGGTTCCCACCAAGACTACACTGACCTATAGGCCCAACTATAACCTTTATGAAACCAGGTAAAAAGAAAAAGAAAAAAAAACATATTGAGGCAGCCAATAGGGGTTTTGGCGCGCCCGCATCTACTTTGCAGATCGATGAGCCACGTTCAGCTCTGAGCACAACCAGGTAGAGGGTATCAAAATCACCTCGTTAAAGGAAGCGCTGCGCAAAATACTTGGAGAGGATGATACGATTGAAGCGTGAGTTGCCGTCAACCAGCTCTGACTTTGTGACACAGACAAGCTACATCCTTAGTCGCGGCAGCACATCAAAAGATGCAGCGCCTTTGTTATTCTAGCTGTTGCTCATGTTGAATGCTGGTCATAATCTTAGCTGCAGATTAATCCGAAGCACCGTACTCATCAGGGCTGGCTCCCTCGTAAGGAAATTAGCACATTTTTTAGGGGGTGCCTTTTGCTAGTAGGGTCCTCCTCTGGCAGTTGCCCCCCTTATGTATGCAGAATCTCAGTGTTTAATCCTGGGAGGCCAAACAAAATCAGAAAACAGCGCCCCCCCCAGAATAACCTGCATGCCAATTTCTAGAGAATCCACTTGCGTCTTGTAAGAAACACCTATAATTCCGATCCCTGAGGCCAATGAACCCCGGCGAACACGTCTATTTGGTTCCTTCTGCCAGGATGGTCCTATCCCACGACAGCAAGCCTGACGAATGGGAGGCGAGCGAATTCATATGCATTAAGCCGAAACGGGACAGGAAAAGCTGTTTGTTCCGGTGTTACTCTTCAACAAACATTCTTCTGGTGCTACACAAGATTCAGAAAATGACGTATTGGCATCTGAACAAGGCACCCAAACAAGAGATGTGAAATAACCCTTGGACGTATGCAGTCGCCTTTAAGTCGCTGCCTCTCGCCAGGCGGCTTTCACCCAGCAGCCACCACAGGGGATGCCCTTCACCTCCGCGCTTCGACCGGATCCATTTGAATGGATCGTGGTGAACCCAAACGAATCCTGGGTCCTCCGTCTCCGGGTTGTTATACTTGTTCGTTCTCCGGGTTATTTCCGTGATTTGGAAGCTCCAGGATGGTACTTTGGTGAGTGCGCCCCATGTTTCCCCAACGCTAGATGAACCAGAAACTACACATGATCTCCCCAGCACAAGACCACGAAACCCAGCCCTTCGTCACGAAGATGACGCCGAGCTGCAACATGGGCCGTTACGGAGGCCAGCGCTGGCGGTTCGCTCGGATGGATCGAGTAAGCAAGACTTACACGGTCGGAAGCTGGCGAAAGGTGGCTGGGTTTAGGTACCCAATCCCAAGTGGAGGCAACGGGCTTGGCTTGAAGGCGATGACTTTTTTTGAGCAGCTGCATGAATGCCACAAATAACGGTGCTAAACTCCAATTTGATCACCTCCAACCGTAGC